ACAATGTGGTAAAAGGCAAAAGCAACCCATTTGTGGCTTGCTACCCAAATCCAATAGGGATGTGTAACTGTATAATCGACATACCTTGGAGTTATTTTCAGGGAGCCTTTTTTTTTTATGCATAAATGCTGTTCTACATGCTACCTTTGTCACAAGTGTGGCATAAGCAGATCTTTTATTTTATTTATTTATTTATTTTTATTTGATTTGTCAATTGCTTACAAGATAATAGGTATAAGGAGAAACATAGTTATGATTACAAGAAATGAGTCCATATAAGAAAAATAAAAGAAACAATAGGACAGGGACGGTAGGCACACTGGTGCGCTTATGCCCCCTACAGACCTCTTAGGAAAGGAGTGAGATCAATAGTAGACAGTATAAGGTTAAAGTTTTTGGGGATTGGGGAAAACACCACAGAATCAGGTAGAGTATTCCAGACATTGACCACACTGTTGCTGAAGTCGTATTTCCTGCAGTCAAGTTTGATGTGGTTAACCTTGAGTTTGTATCTATTGTTTGCTCTTGTATTGTTATGGTTGAAGCTGAAGTATTCATTGACAGGTAGGAAATTGCAATGTATGATTTTATATACTATACTTAGATCAGACTGAAGACAGTGTAGTTCTAGGTTTTCTAGGTCTAGAATTTCGAGTCTGGTGGCATAAGGTATTCCACAATGAGTAGAGGAGTGGAGAACCCTTCTTGTGAAATTGCAGACTTTCTCAACTGTGTTAATATCAGATACGTAATGTGGGTTCTAGACTGATCTTGAATGTATTTATTCAATGAAACATTGCATTTTATTTAATATTCTCTTCTTCCAAAATACCTGTATATAGTTGCAAACAAAACTCAATAGCTTTTTGCTAATAATTTAAAAACAGAAAGCAATTTGATGGAAATTCCTTCCTTTGATCCTTTCATAGTATGTGGCCCAATTTTTTTTGAGCAAACGAACATATATCTCCTTTAAACTGCAGATTCCTCTCAGATTTCCTGCCTCAACAGTTGTGTTTATTATGGACAGACACAGATGCATAGGAATGGCTGGATTTCTTTGCATTTTATAAAATATATTGAATGCTACAAAGTGACAAAAAGCACTATGATGAAAGTACTGCAAAGCTGAACCGAACTAAATAGCTACACCCCTATTTATTAACTGATGGTAGATTCTGCCCCATGTGCTTGAAAGAAAACATCACCAAATAATTATTCAGTGTAACTCTTGAGGCAGCAAACACACATTTTTAATTATGATTTCCATACAAGAGATTTTCATATAATTCTTACATAGATGTTTAGAGGTGTTTAGAGACCATATGCAACCTGTGGCTATTCACTACTGATATAATGATATATGTTAATTGATACAGTATTCAGTTCAATGAATTTCGGGGCAGTTTTGCAATGCATAAAAGCAGTTGTATTAAAAAGGAAATTAGTACTTCAAACATGCCAACAAAGCTACAGTATATTTATATTTACAGTATATAGCAAGAACTGAGTATTATTTATATATTGCTTGAAGGGGTGAAGAGTGAATGCTTTTAAAAACTCATGTAAACTATAACACTCACTTATAGATCACCAAACAATTATAAAGATGTGAAATATAATATATGCAAGACAATACTCTTGAAATGAAATCAAAACCAAGAATATTTAAATGATTTTTACAGCAATGTTACTCAAACTACAAGATTCTTCTAAAAGGTTTCATTTAAGTCAGGTTGAGCACAATATAACTTACTCCTAGGAAAGGGTCCACAGGACTGTGACACAAGGTTATCATCCCATATTTACTTTTGTGGAAGTAATGCCTCTCGAATTCCACAAAAAAATGTGCTTTTTCTAGCATTAGAGAAAAAGGGAGAAACTTGGTTTCCTTAGAGATTAGGCCAGCATTAAGAAAATGGGAAGAAGACTTTGGTAATGTTGGAAGAAATATCCTTCTGGGTTCAGTTCCAAGTGGGGAAAAAGACACTGGAAACATGGAGTCTGTTTGGAAAGATGGTTTAATGGTGGACAAGACCACATGGCTTGGAGCTCCAAAGTGAAATGAACGATCACATGCTTCAAGATGAAGGAAAAGAAAGGGCTGAGATGCTGAGTGTGTCTGGATTTTATACCCTCTGTTGGGATTTGAATTTGAGCTTGTATTCTGATTGGTTGTCAGCCTCCCATGGGGCCATACAGGGGCAACTTGTAGGCTGCCCTGAGTTCCACGCTTGGTTGAGCCTTGCAGATGATGATAGAATGAAAAGGGCTTTGGGCAATTCCTATTATAGCTTTACCTGGAGTAGATCTTTGTTATGTAAAATACACTGGCCTAGGCCAGAGTAATGGTCCATTAGCAAAGGTGGGGGGGGGGCTGAGTTTCTGCTTCTGAGGTGAGTTTCTGCTTCTGAGTTTCTACTCTTTTTAGGGGAAATATTCTGCCTTTTTAAATATTTCATAGGATGTTTCATTTTTCTAGGAGAGGGGTGGGTGATAACTTCCTACAGTAGGAAAATTAGGGAAGAAATACAAAGGAAAAGAAAACTGAGAAAAATTGCACACCTTAACCCTAACCACCACCACCCCTCCCAAGAAGCGCGACTCTCTGCCCTCTGGTGTTTGTCTTGGCGTTTGATAGGCCATTTAATTTCCCCATAGGCTGCTTGCTGCAAGCAGAATTCGTGCTTCTGTCACAAAGAAAGGAAGGATGAATCTTTCTCGCCCGCGCGGCTCCCGAATTACCAGTCAAAGAAGCTGCCCCTTTTTTTCTATATAAACCTCTGCAGCTCGGAGCTCGGGTTACGAGGCTCTCTCCCCCCCTCCCCTCCCCCGCTTTGGTCTCAGAAGAAACAGTTTCTGAGGGGAAACAACTTCTGCCTCGGTTTCTCGCCCCGACCAGTTAAACCAGCGTCTCCTGTTTGGCACCGTCCAGGTGTCTTGGCTTAAAGCTCCATAAAAGGGCGCTCCAGGTTGGAGAACCGGAGTTGAGGGAAACACTGCAGAATGTCCCGCCCATTCCTACCACTGGCTTGTACAGTTTAGGGGGGGGGGAGGCGGGAAGGTGTTCTCCAAACTTGGCAAGTTTTAAACCAGTTGGACTTCAATTCCCAGCATTCTCCCCAGCCACCCACAGCCTCCTTTCTATTCTGGGAGGTAAAGTCTACAAATCCTACAAGTGGCCAAGTTTGGAGAACTCTGGCTTTAGAGGGAACGCGGGCTGGGTACCGTCACTTCAAAGAGATCGGCTAATTTGTTGCTAAATGTCAATGGAGAGTCTCAGTCACCTAGATCGTGGTTGTCCCAAAGGTGCTTCCCCCCCACCCCCCAGACGGCGACTGGACTTTCTGGTTTTTCTTTGAAGACGTTTTCTTTCTCATCCAAGAAGCTTCTTCAGCTCTGACTGGATGGTGGGGAACTGAAGGATTTATACTCCTCGCAGACAGCTAGTCCTATTCTTTTACTCAAGGGTCTTCAAACTTGGCAAGTTTAAGACTTGTGGACTTCAACTCCCAGAATTGCAGAGCTAACATGACTGGAGGAGGAATTCTGGGAAGTCTTAAACTTGCCCAGTGTGAAGACCCCACCCCCTTTTTAGCTAAAGTCCAGTTGCCCCTTGAAAAAACACTTTTGGGACGCTGGTTAGCTAGATAGGCTAGTTAGCTAGATAGGACACTGTAACCATGTTGCTTGTATCTTTACAATGTATATTTTTATTTGATTTGATTTGTCAATCGCTTACACGATAATAGGTATAAGGATAAATATGAGTAAGAACACAGGAAATAGGAACGAATAAATGGAGACAATAGGACAGGCACAATGGTGCACTTATGCACACCCCTTACAGACCTCTTAGGAATGGGGTGAGGTCAATAGTGGATAGTCTGAGGTTCAGGTTTTGGGGGTTAGAGGATGTAACAGAGTCAGGTAGTGCATTCCCAGGCATTGACCACTCTGTTGCTGAAGTCGTACTTTCTGCAATCAAGTTTGGAGCGGTTAACGTTTGAGTTTGTATTGTTTTTATCTGTTTCCTAGTACGATTTGATTGCTTATTAGTAACCTTTGACTATCACTAAGTGTTATATCTTATGATTCTTGATGAACAGCAACAGAGTGGTCAATGTCTGGAATACTCTACCCAACTCTGTAGTTTCTTCCCCAAACCCCAAAAACTTTAACCTTAGACTGTCTACTATTGACCTCACCCCTTTCCTAAGAGGTCTCTAGGGGGTGTGCATAAGTGCACCAACGTGCCTACCGTCCCTGTCCTATTGTTTCTTTTTTCTTTTATTTTTCTTATATGTACCCATTTCATGTATTCATAACTATGTATACACTTATACTTATTATCTTGTAAACAATTGACAAATCAAATCAAAGCAAAGCAAATCAAATCAAATAAATAAATAAATAATAAATAAATAAATAAATAAACAAAACGTAATTTCCTTGCTTTATGTACACCGAGAGCATATACACCAAAGACAAATTCCTTGTGTGTCCAGTCACACTTGCCCAATAAAGAATTCTATCCTACTCTCGCCTCGTCTATTCTCGGGATCCAGACTGCCGTGCCAACTTTCACTAACTACGAGGAGTTAGCCACAAAAAAAGCGCCGAGCTCCCACCCACCCACCCACCCCACTCCCTCCCTCCTTCTCTCTCCTTCCCTCTCCTTGACTGAAACCCAGCCACTCGGCCACTAAAGAGGGGTCTCCAACCTTGGCAACTTGAAGCCTGGAGGACCAACTCTCAGAATTCTGGAAGCTGAAGACGTGGCACGGCTCCGGCGGCAGATCGCGCACTCTGGACTGCTTTAGTGCAGTCCGGCCTCCGGCTTCAAGTTGCCAAGGTTGGAGACCCCTCCACTAAAGCAGTCCAGAGTGCGCGATCTGCCGCCGGAGCTGTCCCACGGTCTTCTGATTTGAAGTAACTCCTCCCAGGAGGGGCGGGCACCGGCGGATGGCTGGCTGGCTCTCCTTTTCCGCCACCGGGAAGTGAAGGTATCTAGACCGCCATGGTGACCGGGGCGCTGCTCTTTTCTTCCTTCTCCCGCTTCCGGAGGGCTTGGCTCCCGCCTCTTCTCCTCGGACCCCGAAGGAGCTACAGCCAAGAAGACGATGCGCTCTCCCAGTACTTGCACCGTAGCATCGTCCCCACTATGCATTATCAGAAGAGCCTGCCCCGGTAAGGAAGCGCCTCTCCTTGGAGACTGGGGTGAAATAGCAGGAGTGCTTGGTCTCTGGTCCCCCGGGGCTATCCTCCTGTGGCCCGTCGGCTTCGATCCCCTCCCCTCCCCCAGCTTTGCTTGTTGCTGTCCTTCGATTGCCCATCTGAAGTGGCCTTTGATCCTCGCGTCCAGGTCCCTCCCCTCTTTCAAATAGGAAGTTATGGCATAAGTCAGTTGTGCTTCCCTCACTCAGAACAGAAGCTTGTATAGGCTTGAGTCGCACGCGAAAGCTCCCTATATCCAATTAAGACAGGGGTCTTCAAACTTGACAGCTTTAAGACTTCAACTCCCAGAATTCCTCCTCCAGTCATGTTAGTTCAGGAATTCTGGGAGTTGAAGTCCACCAGTCTTAAACTTGCTTAAGTTTGAAGACCCTTGAATTAAGATTTCCTTAGAAATTCATTGACACAAACTCCTCAAAGAGCAGCCATCACCTTGTCCCAAAGGTGCTTTTTTTTTTTTTTTAACAAAAGGTAAACTGGACTTTCCCTGACTTTTGTCTTTCCTTTGAAAACGTTTGGCTTCTTGTCCACTCTTTCTATTCCCCATCCAAGCTTCTTGGATGAGAAACGTTTTCAAAGGAAAAGGGAAACCCACCCACCCACCCACCCCTGCCCCGAAAGTCCAGTTATCTCTTGGAAGCAGCACCCCTTTCCGTCTTCAAAGAACGCATCATTGGTTCCATTCCATAACTGGTCTCTGTGGGGAAGCAGGCTTGTGGTTCATAAGAGTCTGCTGGAAAAGTGCAGTGATTTGATGGATTTCTTCCTTTGGGAATCAAGGAGCATTGGCCAATTGCCTTCTTAAGGTGAACTTGGAGAGGAGAGAAGTTTGGACAAATGGATTTAGCCATCATCTGAACTTGATCTGTAGGATAAGTGGGGCTTTTTGTTTTTGCCTTATCAGGAAGCCCCTGCCCACCTTGTGGCTCATCCTATGGTCTGATATGTTGGATGACTGATGAAGATTGCCCTCCACTTTAGGGAACAGCTTCTGTCACCCCACCTAATGGATCAGGTAGTGTTCCCAATAACATAGGAGAGTCCCTACTTTGATCCACTGTAGAGCTTGATTCATGGCTGCAGATTGTTGAATAAAGGTGATCTGCTTACCAGCTGAGCAAGGCAGTGTAGAAAGAAAAATCTCTCCCCTAATAGGTAAATTGCTGTGCGGGATGGTATAGTTGCCTTCACCCTCCTTCCATGTAAACAGTTGATAGCAGCCAATAGGATCCCAGTCCTTGCTGAGTCACCATTATACTCCCTGCTAAAGTGCTGCATTCATGTATACTATACAGTAAAAGCCTTTGAACAAGATGGTGCTCTGCAGAAATCCATAAGGAATACCTCTTTGCAGAACACTATTTACATGGAAATTAGTCATGCTTATGTTTTCTGAACTTAAGTATAAATGTAAAACTACATGTATATCATTTTTGAACCCAGAAGTCTGATAAGTTGCCAGGAATTCAAAGCTGCACAGGATGCCAGTTCATCAGGGGCAGTGGACACGTTCTAAGTATTTGTGTGTTAGCTGTTTATCCTCATTATGGATAAGTTTGGACATAAATAAATAAATCCATCCATTCTTGTTTACTCATACTTATAACTCATACAAATTATTTTTTGAAGTTATTAATCTGAGGCAGCAATATTAAACTTTTGTAAATACAGTCTAAATAACGTGTGACCTCAGAACAAATATTTAATTTGTCTAAATAGCTGGATTGTGCTGATGCTAAGATATTCTGTAAACTCATGAGAGGACAGGAATTAATTTCATTTTTGCACAACAAACTCTAGACATGCCAAGAGGTAGTATGGATCTCTCGTTTAATTCCATTCCAGATTAAGAGAATGTTCAGCAATTGGATTGCTCACAAGAATATTTTAGGATGGTGAATTGAGAGTTACTATATCCTAAATTACAGCACAAGAAAGAGCTCAAAATGAGAAAGGGAAAATGCAAGAGCTTCATTACAGTTGGTAATGAAAGAAGACCAGAATAAAATATGGTATGTGGGTGAAAGGGTAGTGCTAAAAGCAGGACATGATTCTCATCATTGCTATTCAGAGTTAAATATGTATACATTTTTAAAAAATTTGTTGTGCTTTCAAGCCAGTTTTTCACTCCTGGCAACTGCCCAGACTAGTCCCTAGGTTTTCAAGAACTGACTCTATGTATCTATGTAATTGTTACTTAATGCCTTTGTACCTATTTGGTTGACTTTATGCATTGTTCATTTCTAAATCGAGAGCCAGTTTGTAGAGATTAATGCACCAAGCTAGAAACCAGGAGCTCTGAGTTTCTAGTCCTGCCTTAGCGGCAGTTGGTGGCAGCAGTTGGGTGACCTTGAGACAGTCACTCTTTCTCAGCTCTAGGAAGGAGGCAATGGCAAAACCACTACCAAAAATGTTGCCAAGAAAATTTCAGGGACTAGTCCAAGCAGTCACCAAGAGTGAACAATAACTTGAAGGGGAAACCTTTAAAAATCAGCTGATTTAGGATTATTCTATTAAGGTCAAAGTGTACTATTTAGTTGTCTAAATAACAGTGAATTCAACCATGCATACTTTGTAACTTTTTTTTGTTTGTTTACTGCTCCTGCTAACCTACATATAGGTTACAGTGGCAAAAGAGATAGAGATCATCCAATATGCCTTAAATATTAACTTAAATGTTGATCTGGAAGCATTTGAGCCAGGTGTACAGTATTAATTTCCCTCCTCCTATTTTCCATTCCCCAGTTGTTAATACACAACAGTATGCAACTGTTTTTGTTTAGTTACCATGCTCAATGCTCACTGGTTTATTTGGGGGATTGGAGTTTATTTATGCATTGTACTTCTGCAGAAATATTGAAACAATTATTTTAAGTCTGAAGGGCATTTTTCCATGTAAGAATTTCTTTATTACAGGTTCTGGTTAATAGAATCTCTCTTTAACTTTCTGTATTAATTTGCTTGTTTCAGAATAGCTGAATGCTTGATACAAAAATGCCTTGACTTACATTTTACCTAAGGCTTAATCTATCTGAGGGTTGTATTAACAAATTATGCATAGATATAAAGTCAGAGTAAATGTCAGAGCTACTTTGGGGCTTGTGTTTAACTTAAAAACTGCTTGACCATTTAATCTATCAATATGTTTTTCTTGGCAGTTTGTGATAATATATTTTAACCTCACAGATTCAATATTTTATTCCTCTTGTTATTAGTTTGCCCATTCCAAAACTTGAAGATACAATTAGAAGATACCTGAGTGCTCAGAAACCTCTTTTGGATGATGATCAATTCAGGTAGGATCAAGCTTTCGCCTCTCTGATATCATGTCCAGGTACCTTTCTCAGCCTGGTTGCCCTGCAGATGGGCTGCATTATAGCTCCCATTCTCGTGACTATTGTTTGCTGACTGTACTATCTAGGCCAGGGTTATCAAACTCAATTTCATGGAGGGCCGCATCGGAGTTGTGTTTGACCTCGAGGGGTGGCATTGAGGGCATGGTTGGGGGCATGGCCATGGTTGATGTGGCCAGCTCGATATCACTCATCAAGATTTCTTTTTTCAGCCATGACAGCCTCCTGCAGCCCTTTGCCAGTGAAAACGGAGCTGCCCAAGCTTCATTTTTGCTGGCAGTGGCACCATGGGTTGGTCCTTCGTTGTTTCCCAGGTGGCCCTCTCCGCCAGTTCGAAGCACCCCTTGGGTCAGATCTGGCCTGCAGGCCTTGAGTTTGACACCCCCCCTCCCCGATCCAGGCAGTCTCAAGAAAGCCTCCTAGATAATGCTGAAGGAAACTTCTCTTTTCAGAACAGTTAACTCAAATGCAGATCGAAATAGCACTTATACTTTTATATCACCCAATAGTACTTTAGAGCACTCTCCGGCCATTTTACGATGTCAGCATATTGCCCCCAAGAAACTGGGTTCTCATTTTATTGACCGGAAGGATGGAAGGCTGAGTCAACCTTGATCAAATTCCAGGCTGCGGGCAGATAGAATGCCTGCAATGCTGCATTCTAACCATTATGCCACCAAGGCTCCTGCAATGTGGAAGCGATGACACTTTTTAATTACCATACATAGGTAGGAATTTCACAGGGATACAGGAGGAAGGGAGTGGGGTCACAGTCATACCTACTGAGTAGGCCAGACCAGAAATTCCAATTCCACCAGAAGGCTAAAACCACATTGATTGAGATTGGCCCTAGTAACAGACTCTAGCAAATCTGATTGTGCTCTTCCTCTTCCTCTTCCTTTTACTAGAATTTGGACACATCTGGCTGAGCCTTTTCAAAATGTCCTCATGGTTCTGGATTTAAAACATGTTTTAGCCTCCTTTGCCTAGACAATAGTTGCTGCATTTCATAGTCAAGGTCATCTTCTTTATTCTCTACAATAGATCAGGTTAGCAGAGCCTTATTATTCGGCAGCATACTTCATATTTTCACCCAAGGAGTTGTATATATCAGAGAGATACACTAAAATTCTTTCTCTGTTTCTTTTTTAAATTTAGGAAAACCGAACAACTTGCTGGCAATTTTGAAAATGGCATTGGTAGAGAATTGAACAATCATTTGGTTGCAAAGGACAAACAAAACAAACATACAAGCTATATTTCAGGTAGGAAAATTCTTGTGAAATATTGCTTACATTCCTGCTGCCTTTTCCTCAAACTGCTCAATTAAGAATCGGTTCTAACCTGACAGGGAGCAGAAAATGGGTCTTCCTTTTCATTAACTTGGGCTGAAGCCACAGGTCCAGAAGTGGCTTTTTTTTTAAACAAATTTTATTAATTTTCAAAGAGAGTACACAAACAAAACATAAGACATAAGAACATAAAACATCTTTTCTAACAACTACTTAACAAAACAAATAAGACATCTCATTTAAGTACAATATAGTTCCAAATTATCACGTTTCCACACACAATTTAATATGCATCTTATATATTCAACTTCATATCTTATTACTGTTTTCCATCTTCTCACTGTTTCTTCCTTTATTTCTGCAGAACTGGCTTTGATGTTTGTTTACATCTTTAAACGGTTAATGTTTCCTTTAGGAGTGTGCATGACATGGAAAGTATGCTTCTTTTCAAACCAGGAACAAATATGTGTGTTCCAAAACTTTTGTTGAGCTCTTTCAGTTCATCCAGTTCAGCAAAACCAACAGCTGAAAGGTTTTGGTTCTTCCAGGTTTCAAGACAAAACTAAATCTGGAGGGATCCTGGAGCAATTTAGTGCAGTGAATAGACCAAATTATACAGATTACCTCTTCTCTCCATTCCTTGCCTTAATAGCTCACAGGATGCCATATTCTCCTGGCACGCCCCATTTCCCCTTCCCTCCCTCCCTCCTCTCCTTTCACGCACTTCATAACCTATCTTGCTCACTGTGGTCTTCCCAGTTTCTTTTCTCCCCTCACCAATGCTGATGTCCTTGGATGTTCCTCACTGTTACCTCCTCTAACCTTTTCTACACAGAACAATCATATTTATAGTCTGGACAAAACATTCAAAGCATTCGTCTCAGTTTGGGCTGTCAGAAACATCTGTTCCACACATAAAATTTGTTGAGTCGAAGCTGAATGTGTGTCCTCACAAGGGTTGGGTTGGAATTCGTCTTATGCCGCAAGCCTGGACCCACAAAATAATTTCCAAGAGGACCTATAAGATACATTAGATTTCTTGTTCTGAATTTAGAGAATGGAAGAGAATACAGTGGATTGATAGAACAAGTGTCTCTTTTCCATATAGAATGTGCCAGGTTCAACTCTTAGCATCTCTAGGGTGATCTAATTAATTACCACAGTTACCTTTTATTTACTTGACTACTCTTCAAGTAGTGAAGGAAGAAATGAGAAGGAAAGGGTTTTTTTTTTACTGCAGATAAAAATGTTATTTTATTGATTATAGTAGTGGTTTTAAAAGTGGAGGGAATTTGGACCTAGCTTGGGGCTAATGGAACAATTTGTAACTGCTTGGGAGTTGAGAATCCAGGCTGCTGCTGCAAAGATGCTTGTATAAAACAATAGAACCTTGGCTTTGTGTGTGTGTGTGTGTGTGTGTTTCTGTGGGCAGTGAAATTATTTGAGGTAAGAAAATTGAGAAATTGGCTCAAACAATTGATGAACCACTGTATAATTTTCACGTATTGCCAATTCCATATGCTATTCTGAGAAATAAAATATACCGTCTGTAGCAAAAGAGTGATCATAGTGACTTAATGACCATTACCAACAAAATATTAATCTATTGCAGGCTGCTAAACTTTTATGGTTTGGGAAAAAAGAACAGTCAGGATGAGTTAAAGAAAAGGAAACTTACTTCAGCAGATGGAAGAATACCAGAACATAAAGAAAGGAGACAGCAAAAATAAGACAAAAATAAAATAAAATAGAAGAACAGCAAGGAAGAGAACATTTATAGAATTTAGATTAGTGAACTTAATTTACAGGTAATTCTTGACTTATGACTGTTTTTTTAACAAGGGCTCAAAGTTACGACGGCCTTGGAAAAAGTGACTAATGACCTGTACTTGCACTTACAAACCTTGCACGACCCCTTGGTCACGAGATTGCAACTTCAGCACTTGGCAACAGGCTCACATTTATGACCGACTGCAGAGTCCTGCAGTGTCATGAACAGGATTTGTAACCTTCCCAGATAGCTTTTGATAAGCAAAGTCAAGTGGGAAAACCAGATTTCCTTAACAACTGATCATGGGATCATATGATTATGTGATCATGAATTGTGATTTTTCTTTTTGCTGATTTCTGGCCAAAAATGCCCATCGGATTTGCTTAACAACTGCATGATCTATTTAATGACTGCCATAAAAATTATCGTAAAATTGGGTCTAACTTGACGCATGACTCCAGTGACTTACAATGGAAATTCAGGTCTCAATTACAGTTGTATTTATTCAGCCTCTCTGCCTCCTATGTTTTCCTCTTCTTACATGTATGATGTTGGCATCTGAAAATATACCGGTACTCCTTGAGTTATGAGAGGAATGAAGAGGCTCATAATGGTCATGTGCTCAATCCAATTTTACAATCTTTTTTGCAATGGTTTGTTAAGAGAATGCTATGGTCATTAAAGGGGGACGCAGTGTTTCAGTGGCTAAGAGGCTGAGCTTGTCGATCAGAAAGGTTGGCAATTCAGCAGTTCGAATCCCTAGCACCGCGTAATGGAGCGAGCTTCTGTTACTTGTCCCAGCTTCTGCCAACCTAGCAGTTTGAAAGCACATAAAAAATGCAAGTAGAAAAATAGGGACCAATTTGGTGGGAAGGTAACCGTGCTTCATGAACCTTCGGCATTTAGTCATGCTGGCCACAAGACCATGGAGATGTCTTCAGACAGCGCTGGCTCTTCAGCTTTGTAATGGAGATGAGCACCACCCCCTAGAGCTGGAAATGACTAGCACATATGTGTAATGACTAGCACATATGTGCATATGTGCTTTACCTTTATGGTCATTAAGCAAACCCTCGAGCCTAGGATAGCAGAATGTTTTTGTATACCACACACCCGTAATTGGTATAAAACTCACCATACTCGACTCTATTCTATTTCTCAGTTCTTGCTGAATCCATTAGTAAAATAGTGACTCATTACACAGAACATAATCAAGACTCTGAATTAAATCATTGTGAATTTAAAATGCTATCTACCTCATGCTCTTTGCTTGAATAGACTGAGAAATGATTAGGCATTAAAACTTAGCCAAATTATAATCTTTCCTCTGAGTGAAAGAACAAAATGTGCAGAAGCAAAATATGCATGCTACTGAAGTCATATAGAAACAGAGAGAATTATACCATTGTTTCCCTCCCCATGTGGCCTATTTTTCTTCTATCTGAAATATGCTGAACGATTTGTTATTTGTTTAAATGAAATTTAGGAAGATAGTAGTGAAGTAGCTCTCCGTTGTTTCTGTGGACAATTAATAAAATCAGCCTAGTAATGTTGATTGAGAGTAGATGGTTACTTACAAGTGGAATATAAGTGGAAAATCCAACCTAATTCTTTCAAATCAAAATCATACAAACTTGCTCGGTTCTGTTTCATAGTGCTAATTCTGTCTGTTCTAAATTGGAGCAGATGTTTCTCTCCCAGGAAAAAAATATCTGTTGCAAACTGCCTGGCATTATGAAGGACAGTAAACAATCAGCTCCATCCAGTAGCCCCGACTCTACCCCAAATTAAAGGATTACAGGATCATAAAAAGGGTGTTAATGACACTTTGAATTTATACGGTTGCCTCTTAATTTCAGGTCCTTGGTTTGACATGTATCTTCGGGCACGGGAACCCATTATTCTCAACTTCAATCCATTCATGGCTTTCAGTCCCGACCCCAAACCTGAATACAACAATCAGCTTGTGAAGGCCACCAACCTGACTGTTGCTGCTTTACGTTTCTTGAAGACTCTCAGGGCAGGCATCTTAGAACCAGAGGTGTTTCATTTGAACCCATCCAAGAGCGACACTCCAGGGTTCAAAAAGCTTATTAGATTTGTACCTCCTTCCCTCTCATGGTTTGGTGCCTATATGGTGAATGCCTACCCACTAGATATGTCACAGTACTTCAGACTTTTCAATTCCTCCCGGCTGCCTCAACCCAAGAAAGATGAGTTGTTTACAGATGAGCATGCCAGGCATTTACTGGTGCTTAGAAATGGCCACTTCTATGTGTTCGATGTGATAGACCAAAATGGCAGCATAGTGAAACCATCGGAGATTCAAGCCCATTTAAAATTCATTCTTTCAGACAATGCGCCAGTTCCAGCATTTCCTCTTGCTTTTCTAACTACTGAAAATCGGGACACCTGGGCGACTCTGAGGCAGGAACTCCTTGACAATGGCAACAGGGAGACCTTAAGGAAAGTGGATTCGGCCATATTCTGCCTGTGCCTTGATGATTTCCCAATTAAAGATCTCGATCATTTGTCTCATACTATGCTCCATGGCGATGGCACCAATAGGTGGTACGACAAATCATTTAACCTTATTTTAGCGAAAGATGGCTCTGCGGCCATTCACTTTGAGCATGCTTGGGGAGATGGTGTGGCTGTGCTTAGGTTCCAAAACGAAGTCTTTAAACACAGCACCGAGACGCCTGTCATTACTCCTCAGTCTCTGCCGGCTGCCTGTGATTCGCACGGAGCTGTAGAGAAGCTGAATTTCAAACTGAACGATGCCTTAAAAGAAGGAATTACCAAAGCCAAGCAAAAGTTTGACGCCACTGTGAAAACACTGACGCTGAAGTCCTTCCAGTTTGAAAGAGGAGGCAAGGAATTCATAAAGACCCAGAAGCTGAGTCCCGATGCCGTAGTCCAGCTTGCCTTCCAGATGGCTTTTCTTAGGCAATATGGACAGACAGTTGCCACCTATGAATCTTGTAGTACAGCAGCATTCAAACATGGTCGCACCGAGACAATCCGGCCTGCTTCGATTTACACAAAGGCATGCGCAGAGGCACTAGTCAAGAGGCCGTCCAAGCACAGCACTGTGGAGCTACGCCAGATGATCACAGAGTGCTCCACGTATCACAGTCAACTCACAAAGGAAGCTGCTATGGGTTAGTGATCTTCCTCCTTGCTTTCGGTTATATTGATGACAGTCCTTTTCTTAACATGGAGTTTCCTATGGATAACTGGTGTTCACAAGTGTGTGGGGAGCAATATAATTTTTTTTAGCAGTTTAATCCAATTTCAAAATGTCATTTAGACATGTTGAGTTCATTGATTCAGTCATTGGTTCATTCATTCAGTATAGATGCTGCCTGATTCCATAGGAGGCTCATGACAATAGAGTTATAAACCAAGATTACAAAATACTTCAGTATAGTATTTTGAGAAGTAAAGGTTATGCAAACTGGCAGCATGACCACCTCACTACCTATTTGGACTTCTCCAGGTTCAGTCCAACATACAACTGCCTTCGAAGACTATCCTGAAGCTACCACTGCTTCAGTACAGAACTGCTTATGTGTTATCTGGCACACAACACCTAAGGCTTAATTGGTAATTCTAAGGACCATAATTGGAACTGACAACTTGGTTATTAAGAGAAGTCACATTGCAACTGTGCTTATAGCAATAGCACATAGACTTATATACCGCTTTATAGTGCTTTACAGCCCTCTCTAAGCAGTTTACAGAGTCAGCATATTGCCACCAACAATTTGGGTCCTCATTTTACCCACCTTGAAAGGATGGAAGGTTGAGTCAACCTTGAGCCTGGTGAGATTTGAACTGCCAAACTGCAGTCAGCTGGTAGTCAGCAGAAGTAGCCTGCAGTACTGTACTCTAACCACTGCACTACCATGGCTCATGAACTTACTTCAGTTTTTCTTGGCTTTGTAGACCTATGAAGATCATAAATGCAAGGGTTGGTTGCAAAGTTTTCATTACTGTTATAGCTGTGAAAGTTGTTAAGCAAGGCAGTTACTAAATGAGGATTATCCATATTGATTTTGAAGGCTCTGTACCACCTGTCAGGAGGTGTAATTCAAAGTGCTGGTTGTGTCCTATGTATAAAGCCCTTTATGATTGACACTAAGGTGTGTTCAGGAACTCCCTTTCCAGTTGAGATTGACCCATGTTGATATATTCATCCTGGAAGAAACTGCTTATGGTGCCCCACCTTATAAAAGTCGGGGCGTGTATGGATGGGACTAAGAACAGGAAGTGCTCATTTTTCAGTGATGGCGGCAGTGCTTTGGAGTATCTTCCTTCTGGAACTGACACCATTGCTAGTAGCTTTTTGGGAAACAGGTTAAAACTGAATTATTGTGAAATAATAACCTCTGGGAAGTTAATAAATATTTCTTTATAAAATGCATACAGTACTTTGAACCAAGCAATTTAACTATATATCATAGATATATAATAAAAATAAAACAATTAAAAATAAGCAATATATTAAAATAGTAAATCTAAATCCCACATGATTTTAGAATCAGTACTGAAACTCCCTATGGAAAAATAAGACTCTTTATGATTTTTAGAAAGCAAAGGATGTTGCCTGTATTTTATTGCTGCTTCTTTAATTTTTATATACTGGCATCCTTACCAGAAGCATATTAATCATCATACTGATGCTGCCGCTTAGCACCAGCAGTCACTGGGATATTAATTGAATAACATTTCAGATGGCATAACGCCTCCTGGGCATTGAAAGAGATTAATTATCAATAGCAATAGCACTTAGACTTATATACAGCTTCATAGTATTTTACAGACCCCTCTAAGCAATTTATAGTCATCAAATTGCCCCCAACAATCTGGCTCCTCATTTTACTGACTTCGGAAGGATGAGTCAACCTTGAGCAGGTCAGAACCAAATTGCTGAACTGCTGGCAGTCAGCAGAAGTAGCCTGCAATACTGCACTGCGTCATCACGGCTCTTATGTAGTGATGGAACTATTTAAATAAAGTATTTTAATGCTTATTTAAATAAGATTGCATAACCTGTTTTTTTTTTTACAATAGTTTTCATTTTGTGAAACAAGATGTCATGTTTGACTTTGGAAGTGGCATAAAATATGATTCAGACACAAGTAATGACTTTTTCACTGTTGTATTTTTCTTGACAGGTCAGGGATTTGATCGTCACCTTTATGCACTGCGGTGTGAAGCAGAATCCCAAGGAATTTCTTTTCCAGATCTTTACAAGGACCAAGCTTATGCTCTAATTAACCACAACATTCTCTCCACAAGTACGCTTAGCAGCTCCGCCGTGTTGCTGGGTGGATTTGGGCCGGTGGTGCCTGATGGATTTGGCATAGCTTATGCTATACAAGATAACTGGATCGGGTGCAACATTTCTGCTTATCCATCTAGGAATGCACCAGAATTCCTGCAGTGTGTGCACAAGTCACTGGATGATATTTTTGATGTTTTAGAAGGGAAACAAATTAGTAATTAAGATAAAACAGCACTGGTTTTCTTAAATGTGTGACATAACAAACTTCCTTTGGCTCAAAGTTAATGTTTTAGCTGGACTATGACCTTTTTATCCTTTTAAAAATAACAGATTAAGATCTGGAGAAAAAAAAGAATGTAAATAGGGTTAAAGAGCCGGTCCACTGGATTTTTACATTTGCCATGACTAAGTTGTTACGCTGATTTTAATGCCTGTTCTCCAAATATAATTAAGAGTAGCTCCAACTCAGAGTGTAAATGAACTTCCAATTGTAAACAGTGCTGTCTTTATTATCAGCCAACAGAAGCTCTTGAAGTTTAAGACTGATACATTGCTGAATATTCATTCAGTCTTTGCTAATGTATGTATTTGATTAATTTTTAAAAATATATGTACTAACCATCAAATATAGGAATAATGCTTGGGTTACATTTAGATAGCAACACCCTTTTGCGATACCTTGTGTTAAAAGACAACCCAATATTATAGATTTTTTTTGTAAAAGGAAAGAAACCTTGACTAGCATGCTCATTGGAGCAGAAATATTCACAGCCTTCTAGAGCTCTGCCTTGGGACACTCAAGTGAATCTTTTGGAATCCTTACAAGAAACAACTACAAGAATGTTCAATAAGGCACACAGAAAATTTACCCAAGAAGAAAAAAAATCCTGAATGTAAAATGGAGGATTTTTCTCCATCTAATCTCTCCCTTCCCCAAAGATGGAAGTAAATGGAGAAAAATAATACTCACGGGCAAAAATCTTGTAAAAATGCCCATTTTCTGTGCCTAGTAAACCAAAGTTAACAACTGCAGATAAAAGATAGAATTGCACAATTAGAAAAGAAAGCTGAGACACTAATCACCAGGTATTATCAGGTCCACCCTGCTGTTCATTGTAACTGAAAATATGATACAGGATGCCCACTGTGTAGAAAAATAAATCTTTCTCCAAATACATGGGGTTAAACGGCACACACGCAGGAATAACATTTAACACCTGTATTTGCTCTGAAAGCTTAAAAGGAAGATAATGCAGGTAGTCCTTGACTTACAACCACATGGGGGGCAGGATTTCCATTGTTAAGCAAGAAAGTTGTTAAATGACGCACACTGTTTTTTTGCTATGGTTAAGCACTTACTGCAGTTGTTAAGTGAATCATATAGTCCTTAACTGAAGCCGGCTAGGAAGGTTGCAAATGGTAATCACATGATCTTAAGATGCCGCAACCCTCATAAATACATGCCAGATGCCAACATCCAAATTTTGACTACATGACTATGACGGGGATCCTGTGATGGCTGTAAGTGTGAGGACCAGTCACAAGTCACTTTTTTTCAGTGCTGTTGTAACTTCAAACGGTCATTAAATGAATGGTTGTTAAGGACTACCTGAACTACCAGTCTGGTTGAGCTTCCAGCTGAAATGTATTCTGAAAATTTCCTGTTGAATAAATGTGACACATTTTGTGTATGTCTATGGAGATTCTCAGTCATCCAGGTCTTGGTTATCCAAAGGTGCTTTTTCAAGAGGCAACTGGATTTCCTGGTTTTTCTTTGAAGATGTTTTGCTTCTCATCCAAGAAGCTTGGTACTACTATAAATGGGTACTACTTTGATGGTCATGCTAGCAACAATTGGATAACCTTTGGATAGCACTGGCTCAATGGCCTTGAAACAGATGAGTACCACCTCCTATAGTCAGCAATGACTAGTGGAGGGAAATCCTCAGGGACTCTTTTACCTTTACCTCTCTTCATTTATAGTACATTTAAGAGTCAGCCCCACCCTTAACAATTCATCATTAAATATGCAATAAAGTATATTTAACTTAGAAGCGTCCCACACATTGTTTTATTTCTAAGATACTCGGAATACTCTCAGTAAATTAAATGGATGTCTATTTGTAGACTGGCTTGTTCCAAGATAAGGACTGTTATTTGGGTATTTGTGTTAATGTACATATTTTTTCAGACAATAAAAAAGTAACAGCATGAATTTGGGCAAAAAATATCAAAAGTAATGGTTTTATTTTGACTTTTGTGGATACAATTTAAATGACTTCATTTTATGGAAAATTACTGTTTTGCCATAGGAGTTAACATTTGACAAACTTATAGGTAACTTCATAGATGCCAACGGATTCCTTTATTTTTTCATCATAGTCATTCCAGTCCTGTAGAGTGAAACATGCCATCTTAGCTCTAAACAAACTTTAATGGAAATACAATATTATTTCCAGTTAAACTGTAGGCAGCTGCTTGGAGGTTAGCCTGTATTTCAGCAACAATCTTCCCTGCCACATTTCTGGTATGGATAATTTAATTTTTAAACTATGATTTCAGCATGAAGATCCTGTTCTAACATAATGGAAAGGCATCAGTCTAGAAGGGTCTAATATAAAATATATATTACATCCTTGGCCATTTAAGAATTGTCCTGCTTGCCCGGTCTTCCTTAATTTCTCGTTTAAAAGCTGCAATTCATCAGCATAACTTGGATAGCTGTAAAACTGGACCAGGATATTTTGTGAGGAATAACTATTAATCCTTAGATTCAGTTTCCTACAGATTGGCGCTACCTTCAAATACCAATAACAGGAAACAGAAATAAGAGAAAGGAATATCTCTTCCTTTGGCCACTATGAGAATGTTGATCTAAGGTGGACCTTCGGTGGTCCAGCAGCACTAATCTTATATTAGCCTGTTTTAAGATTTGTACCCTATAGACCACAAGGTTCTTTGAACCAAAATGTGAAGACTCTTACCTTTTCCAGTAAGTTGATTTCATCGAAAGATGTGCCAGACTCAGCACCATTTGCGGCAAACCCTGCCTACAAATAATGTAAAAGCACCTGTTAGAGACACATTAGATCTGAGCTAAAATACCGTCCTTTATTTGCATCTATGCAGCTACAACACCTGTACTGGATCAGAATTCCTGACTGATTTAACACCAACCCTTCATCCAAACAAGTTCAGCAGCTTCACTGCTACAGATGAGCAATAAAGCCATAATCAAGAATTCCAAAGTTAAGGTACCTAACAATGTTTTCCCTATCATGCGATTCTAATTATGTATGCTTAAGTTTGCATAGAACAAACTTCACATTAATGTTTAGGTGCAAACTTACCAGCTGTTAACTCTTTATCCTGTGGTTGTATGAACTAGCGCCAAAAGAAACTGTGTGCTGAAGAACAAATTATTTGGATTTAATAGGCAAGCCTTTCAAAAAGGAGACGCTTGAGAACTTGCCTGTGGTTGAAAATCCACGGGTTCAAGGCCACGGCACTCAAATTCCACTATTGTCTTAAAGGTCTCACTGTCTTCGGCCTAGAATTCAGTCAAAAGAATATTTAGCTTTTTTTTTTAAACAAAGGAATAAAGACAAGCGGGAAGAAACTGAACATGTTTCCTAAATTGTTATATTCCATAAAGACACAGTGTAATATTACAAGTAATATAATTTCTAACATTTGTAAATCTCTAGAGAAACGTCCGATTAAAGTAGGGAAACATTCAACCATGAATGACAGATAAATAATCACAAGTGCCTATTTAAATTGCTGCCTTTAGGAATTTCTGCTAAAAGTTCACCCTTTCCACAAAATACAAATAAAACAAACTTACATTATAAGGCTTAATTGTCTGACTTAAGATATCTGAAAAGAAAAAAGAAACACATATCATTGAAACAAAGAGAGGTATAACTCACAGGCTATAAAAATATTCAGATTTGAATGGATTCAGGGTCAGTCATGTGCTAGACTTCACCTTTAAAATTTAGTTTTAAATGTTTAAGCACTGTGTCATGACTAGGTGCATCTCAGCAAGTCATAGCTTGAGGCCTTCCTAATCAGGCTCCAAAGGTTGTGACATATTTGGGCCAGTTTTATTCTACGAGGAATGCAGAACATATACATTTTCTATTTTATGCATTACATAAAATGTCTTTCCCCCCCATTGCCACTGCCAGCAGCAACCAATTTTCAGGCTAACCCATCTTTTCACAATAGAGATCTGCAGGCATTTTTTAATTTTTGTTTGGCACAGCTTGTTTTAGCGAGAAGATTATTTCTGTCTCCACTCTGTAAAAGATGTATAGGGAATTATAGAGGGGAGTGGGAGGAATGCTTTCCTATTAGTTTAATACAGTATCGTAGCCTGAGTTCTCCATCGAGGGCAGGGGTGTCCGATCGTGGCAACTTTAAGACTTGTGGACTTTAATTCCTAGAAATTGAAGTTGAATTCACCTTGCTGGGGAATTCTGGGAGTTGAAATCCATGGGTCTTAAAGTTGCCAAGGTTGGATATCTGTGATCTAGGAGATAGATGTATAAAAATCCCCTTACCTATGGAGTTTTCTCGGGAGCACAGCTTGCATTTCTGCACCATTGTGGCACTTCCCCGTCCTCCTTTGAGAGGATGGCTGTCCTAAACAGAATTTCAAAAGAAAACATCAGTCACCAATCTCAAGAGCTCCAGTGGAGAGGAGGCTGCAAATTTTTTTTGCTCAAGATACAAATATTCTAATGGGTGTCTTTCTTTTAGATTAAGAATATTATGCAAACAGTTAGCAAAGTTACCAGGGAATACAGTAGTTCACTAACAGAGATATTTTGCTAAACAGCTTCAGCCAAATCAGAGACATTATTAAATACTTTGTTTGAAGAAAAAATTAATTTATATTGCTAATTATGTTCACAATCTTAATTAAGTGATTGAACTATATATCTGACTGTAAAAATATATTGCCAATGGAAACATTGGTATTAAAATAATACAGAATAAGGAATCTTTGCATACAGATATATTTACCCAGGAAATAAATAGAATATCCACATTACTTAGAAAAATGAACAGAATCCTAGAAAAAATGAGAGTGAATACTTGCATACAGTGAAGATTCATATAGTCAACACCCTAGATACAATCTAGAAATTCTAGTTTCCTTGAAATGTTTCGGATGATAGCTCCTGTTACACCTACAAGAATAGGAGCAAGTGACATCATAAACCTCATGGTGCCACTGCCCAAATAATATGAATTGTATGCCATAAATAATTTGCATCATGACCTGCCTGGTGCCAACTATATCTTACGTAATTTGTTTTGAAACTTACCATTAATCGTAGATATTGCCATTTTTCTGAAACCTCATTACAGTTTCCACATTTAAGCTGGAAAATAAAAGGAAATCAAATGCAAACTATATTGAATGGAATCCAACAACACAATAATCAAATGTTTCAATTTAAACATTTAAACACCTGGCTGGAGTGGTTTTGGGGTTTGTGGGCCAAATGATCCCAGGGGAAAAACATTTTTCCTATGAATGGAATGGCTCTCCCCCATCCAGAGATGGCTTACAACTTGGGGGTCTTCCTAGAGTCATAGGTCCCGCTCAATAAGCAAGTGTGGCTTGGAGGGCTTTTGCACAATTATGTCTTCTGTACCAAGTGCATCCATTTCTGGCTTGCAAGGCCCTTCTCAGACACTCATATCTTAACAACCTTCCATTTAAATTTCTGTGGTATCCTTTTATGTAGGAATGCATTTAAAAAACTTTCAGAAGCTGCAGCTAGTACAGAAAGGTCATTTATTGGTATATTCAGACATACTTGGGTGGCACTATTTTGGGATGACTGGATGGTGGGGAATGGAAGCGAAACCATGACCTGGATGACTGAGAATCTCCACAGACATTTAATCATGGCTGGGTGTTGCATTTTGCGAGTGTGTCAGCGCGTTTCCCGAAGACCTACCTTCAGATACCATCGAAAATCCTCCCCCACCGGCCGGAGGTTTGTAATGTTTTCTAAAGTCGCTTTGAACTGCAACCCGATTTTCTGCAAGGAAGAATGTCACCCGAACCGGTTAGAGGCGCTGGGCAGACAATCTCCCGCCAGCCACAAGGCACGCCCGGGCGACCCTCCTCTTACCCCCATGGCCCGGAAAGGGAACGAAAGGAGACGGGCCTCAGGAGAGCCGGGTCGGGCAGAACAGATCACAGATCCCCGCTACCCCCTTCCCACGAACCACGACGCGCGAAACCCCACAGCTCCCAAAGCGAAATCGTTCGCGGACGCCAAGTGGGCAGGCGCTTCTCAACCTTCGCGAGACTTGACTTTCGCCTGATCGGGGGAACGGAGAGGGGCTGGGCTGCCCTCAAAAGGGATTGGGGATTTATCCCGTTTTTAAGAGACCCGGGTGGTTCACCGAGCCGGTGCCCGGATTCTAGAAGCGATCCTTTCTCTCGATCCACACGCATCCCTAAAGGATCCCGAGGCAGGCGCCTGTTTGTGGAGACCTGGAGCACACCCACATCTTGTTTCCCCATCGGCGCCAGTTTTGTATTCGATTCGCGAGGCTCGATGGCAAAACGAGGCCTCGGTTTACCTCGGCTGCCCCCCCCCCCCCAGCGAAATCGTTTTCGAGGCGGGCATTTTGGGACTATTCTGGAGTTTGGAGACTCGGTCTGCAAAAATTCGGGCGATCAAATGCTGCCGTCTAACGGCAGCTTGAATTTTGGCAACGTGGAAGTGGAAGCCCTGCCAGACCTTCTAGATCCGTGAAGGTGACAGATATTGAAACGGGATTCCACAGTTCATAAGACTCTTTTAAGCTTTAAAACAGGGAAATGAAGAAATTTAAGAGTGCTTTGGCTGGGATAATATGCTTTGACCTAGCTTTTCTTCTAGGTCGGACAACTTTTAAGACTTATGGACTTCAATTGCCAGAATTCCTCAGCCAGCCGTGCTGGCTGGGGAATTCTGGGAGTTAAGCCCACAAGTCTTAACGAGTTTGGAGAGTCCTGACCTAGGTCATTCCTCCCCACCCTGGGTGCTTTTCAAATGTGTGAACCTCCAATTCCTAGAAGAGCATGGCAACTGCCATCTGTGTATGGATGTAATTTATCTGCCACCCATCTTGTAGTCACCTGTTATCTTCCCCTGGCAGTGAGCCAAAAATCAAAGTGGAAGAACCAGAATTACAAAATGCATTTAGTTAGTACATACAGGTGCTCCTCAATTTACAACAGTTTGTTTAGTGACCTTTCAAAGTTTTAAGGGCACCAAAAAAGTGACATGACCAATGTTCATACTTATAACCATTGCAGCATCCCTATGGTCACATCATCAAAATTCAGATGTTTGGCCATTGGCTCAGTTATGGTTATGTGGTCATCTTTTTCAGCCTTCTGACACGCAGTCAATGTGGGAGCCAGATTCACTTAACAAATGGGGCAAAGTTGTAAAATGGGGCAAAATTCACTTAACTCTCATCTAGCAATATATGTTGAGCTCCACTATGGTTGTAAGTTGAGGACTACCTATGCTATGCAGTGCACACACACAAACACACACACATCCAAACGACATTAGTTGATTCATGCTAGCTATTTAAAGTTCAGGGGAAAGAATTTCTGCTAGTAAAATCCACTTTCTAATGATGACCGTAGCAAGAAAATTGGCCTTATGCATACAGAACTGATCATACACTATTCTAAATTTAGACCACCGGGATTATTGGATTTACTGGATTATTGGAAGGAAAAGCAAGATTCAATTACTTCTAAAATATGTTATATTAAGGATACCAATTCATTTAAGCTGTAAACAGTAGCAATGTCCTGTTATTTTACAAATACTCAATTTTATTAAAATATACAAAATCAAATTAAATCAAACACTAGTGACATGCTATGTGTGCATATATCATACAGATGTGGCACACACTGATTTTTGTGGTCTCTATCATTCTGCAGCTTTATGTGACATGTTACAACCTATCATCTGATCTTTGTTTAAATTTTTATTGCCAAAAACAAAAAAGTCCAGGAAACTTGCTATTTCACAGAATACCTTATTCAGTTATAAGATTGTTAAGGCAGACAAAAAATATTTTGGAGGAAACTCAAGAAGTTGGGGTGATGCTAAGTTATTGATGATTTGGTAAGTTGTTCTAACAAACGCGTTGAACTACGCCCATAAACTAGGATGAATGTAAAACTATCGTCCCAGTAAATTGCTGCAGATTACTGGCCTCTAATAAATGATAGCAGCACCACTATTTTTTTATTCTTATTTTTAACTAAATACAAAATAATTATTTAATTATCTATTTCTTATTCCAAGTAAGAATTTGTTGCATTAAAAATGCAACCCAATAATGTCTATCACCATAAGACATCGGTCTATAAGTTGCATGTTCCTTAATATATGCAAATTTCTTCCATAATCACTTGTTCTGACTTAGGCAAACTCTGCTTTCTTCCACCGTATTTTGAAGAAAGTGAAAAATCCATTGACATGCACACTTCCAGAAGTACCGGTAGTTACTTAACTTTCTTCACAACACAGGCTAAAAGAATAATCATCTATGTATCTAGATGAAAATGATGATTCTTTTGTTATATTACCAACCTCCTCAAGTGCATGCAAACATAAGGAACATGGAAACAGCCCATTCCTAAAATATGAATTTTGTTCAACAAAGACTTTCTAAATAAAAAGAAAAAAGTCTTAGTTTTTATTAAACCACTCTGTATAAAAACAGACATACATTAACGTTATGCAAATATGGAATGAAAAGAATCCCACCCCAAAAAACTTTACTATACAAATTTAGATCCACACAATTTAAATTGGTTTAATCTTGAAATGTAATCCAATGAGACTGAAGACTAGACACTTGAGATCTTGGACAAGATAATAAAACACTCTTAGACCTTCTGGATCCCTGTGGAGAAAAATGGAAAAAACACATAGTTAAAAGAAAGACATTTTGCCATCAAAATCATTACCCTCAGAGAATTTCCAGGCCATTCAAATGTCAAACAACCTTTAAAAGCACTGTGAAATTGACCTGCCCTTTTTTTCATTTGTATAAATAAATACTTTAATATAATATTCTACAAATTGATGTATTATTAATATGTACTCCTTTAGTTCTTGAATCAGCAGAAACATGTTTAATAACAGGTATGGCAATACATACATACATACATACATACAATTCTCTACAGATGAACACAATACAGAAGCCTGATGATGGCAGATGAGATTCTGCTGAAACGTTGCTACAACTTTAAAAGCACAACTACAATGACATGGGAAAATACCCGAACAAAGCTGAATACCATACACACACACACATATACATACTTTAAGTTGTCTGCATAATGCTTCAATAGTACTTTGTGAATCATTGATCAGGCATACAAAAACGGAAGCCTCTATGGAAATATCCCACCCAAAATGGCCATGGAATGCAATATGCAGACATTGGAAAGGACGAGGCATGTCCAGAACAACATCAACTAGCCAAGGGGAGTCTGGAAGATGCCAGCCCCTTAGCACGGTAGATTATTCCTGGACCAAGCCCTTGCGTAAGGAGAAAATGGGAAAGCTTATTTTAAAATGGGAAAAGCTAAGGACTAATTTATGCTGCTTCCAAAGACAATTACACAAAATAATCAGCATAAGGGCATGTGGTCTAAAAATGGGGAGTGGAATATCTTCACATCATGATTAGTGGGACAGGAACAAGGATTCTTATTTCCCATTGAAGTACAGACTACGGCTGCATTGTTTATAACGGCATTCAAGTCAAGGCAAGTAGGATACACTTTCATTGCTTCTGCTTTTCCTGCATCCTAAAGTGGTATCTGACTGAAGTCGCAGCTTTGATTCCTTTGATTTTCATTGTCTTGGAGACATCAAATCACAATATAGCAATTCTCTACAATGGTAATCTAATGAATGCAAAGAGGCAGCGTATATAATATTGTTCACTCTTCAAACAACACTTACTTGGACTGATTCACGTCAATAAGAGAACCGATTTTGGATGTTGTGAAAGAGATATGTTCATCCCCGATTACAATTTCAAGCTCCTGGAAATAAATAAAACAAGAAAAAAATACATTTAGGGTGGACTACCATTTTAAGAAGCCTGAATTTCTCTTCTCCATGTTCTCTCATAACATCCATAATTATTATTCAAGCCCAAACCAGGACCTACTAGAACAAATATTTATATTCAGCTACTCAAGGGACTATAGCCACTTCATAGCACACAAAGAAATTTTAACCACATATTTATATTGATGGAATTAACAAGTTAACATCTATCAGAAACTCAAAGATGATGTTGGGTGGGTTATGATGCAAATAAATAAGATTTTTGTTTGTAGTTATTGTATTTGGGAGATTATTGAGACTTATTTATTTTAGGAATTATTCTGCAGCTTTCATGTTTTATCTCAAAATGAAGTAAACAAACCACCAATATTTGCTCAGAGAAGTTTTTGGAGTTTCAAAAATACACTTTGGGGCAGCATTCTTGTTCCCCTGGGATTAGTTGTTGGAGACTTGAGTCCATTGCTTTGTGCTTATTATTACATCATCCAGAGACGTATCTGTGGACTATGAGTGACTGAAGTTCCTCACCAGATATACTTAGCAAAAGGTATCAAAACATTTTCGGTTTGACAGGATAATTTGGGCCCCACAGGTATGCCCATGTAATAATTATATGATTTTTAGCTTCCAAAAGGAGGTTTTAAAAATAAAATATCCAACTTTACGTCCCTTAGCAGCCAAAAGGATTCTACATCCACTTCCTAATCTAACCTTCCTCCGCATACTTCCAAGTTCAAGAATTCTTTAGCCAACATAACCATTGCTGGGAATTCTTGAAGTTGCTCCACATATCTGGAGAGGTACCTGACTGGGGAAACTACTATAATCCCATCTAAATTGATCTCTTAAGGATTGCAGCTTGTGTGTAAACATGTAAATTTAATGCATATGTATGAAAAATAGGGAATCTGCTAACCTGCCGACCAACTCTATCTGGAGGAGGCCACAATGCATCATCTTCTTTTGTAATTTCACTGTCATCAATAATCCTTTTTAGCTCTTCCATCACACTTTTATGTACGTAGGCCTAGAAATGATGTAGAATGTTAGCATGATTCTGTCATTTTTGAAAAAAGGACATAGAAGACTCATTTTTCTTTTTTTCATTTATACAAATATCCATCAGAAAAAATTAAGAAGGGAAAAATCCAGCACAGATACATTTGTACAGTACAGTTAATGCTAGTAACTTTAAAGGGTTC